GAATAAATGTTTCCCAGATTTCTGCAAGCATCTTTTTCTTTCCAGAGTTCTTAAAAAGCCAGTTTTAATCAATGTGTTCCCAAGTGGTGATAGATGTCAGAGGTCCTTACTTTGCCATTTTCATTGCAATACTTTTCCCTTTGTTTAAAGGCATCGTGTTAGCAAGGCGAGTTGCTGATGTTTATGTCTGTTTCACATTTTCAAATGAACCTGCGGTTTGTTATCTTGTTTAGAATATATTCTTCAGCATTATTTGTGTGTTCTCAATCTTTTTGCCTATATTATCTCATATATCTAAGACATAGCTGATATGCTTACTTTAAATCTATTTTTACTTTTTTGATAAAGGCAGTTGAAGATGACTTTGTGGAAATGCGTAAGAACGACCCTCAGAGTATCACTGCTGATGATCTCCACCAGTTGCTCGTGGTAGCCCGGTGAGTTGTATAAGTCTGATTTTTTAGTAACCTGCTTATAAGCATCCTGCTTCATTCAGCAGTAACTGAGGAAAACGGCTAACAGCAGAAATGAACTTTTCTTTTAAAAACTCATATACAAGGGCTCACTGAGGTGGAAGTTCGTTTGACCAGCAGTCTCTTCAGTAGAACTGGCATACTGCTTGCCCTGTAAGCTTCCCAGAGTGAGCCACCCACCGATTTAGACTCTCCAAAAATTCCTCTGTAGAAATCTCACTTAAGTTTAGCTACCAGACAGTCTTGTCTCCTAAGGTTGACTGTATTTTTAAAGTCTTATTTAAGTTACTATCTTAGCTCTAGGCTTAAATTTGTTTCTGTTATTTCAAACCAGGTTTCTGTCTCTCAGTGCGGGTCAGACAACGCTGTCAAGGGAACGGTGGCTAAGAGCAAAGCAGCTAGAGTCTTTAAGAAGAACTAGGCTTCAGCAACAAAAATGTGTGAATGGAAATGAACTTTAAAATCTGATATTAATGAAGAGTAATGGGAAAACTGTAGCCACATCATTGTAAAATTCAAGTATCATTTATACCACATTGTTTTATAGATAATTTGTATCAAAACCCAATGACTTTCTTGAAATCAAGACTAGAAACACCTGAAGTTTATATTATATTCAGTAAGGACTTTTACCTCACTGATTTTATGGAGCTTTTGAAGTTTGTTTTATAATTATATAAATTAGTAACTATGTACAAAAATGTATTTGATATTAAAGTTTAATATTGATAATGTTGCTGATTATACTATTTCCTTAGCTTCAGCGAAGTCATAGGCCAGACTCTGTTGAAATGTTAATATTAATAACTTCATTTGAAGTAAACTGTTGCAGTTTGAAAATCAGAGGATTGTATACTTCTGAGTTGTGTCTTTCCAGTTAACAATGGGTATAAATAAGTGTTCAGTGGTCCAAGTCACAGAGTGGGATGTACTTCCATTGATTCACTTAGCCATGTAAAATTCCATAGTGTCATTATGTAGACATCTTAGCCACTGAAACTTTTTCCACTTAACAGTTAACAGTTTATGAAACTAGTCATTTTTACATTGCATGGTTCCCAAACTTCAGGATTTCATGGACCAGTAACATTTTTAAAAACTTTGGGTATTGACATGGTTGCCAGTTTATTTTGCCAAGTAATTATCACCTTTCTTTTTTTTCATAAAAGGACAAATTCAGAATAAGAGAGAATCCTTTAATCCGAGTAAATGTAAGTTTTTGATGGGGTAGAGGGAACCTATTACATTGTCTTTATTTTTCTCATTACTGCCCCATGCATTTGAGAACCACTGTTTGATGGGACTCACATAAGGGAATGCTGCCGTATGGTGTTTTGCTCAAATATGAAATAAGCAAAACAGAAAACTTAGAAATACCCTCTTCAGCAAAAAAAAAGGGGGGAGGGGTTGTCATTTAGTTGCTTTGATGATTATATTTTGAGTTTTTTTTTTTTTTTTTGAGAGGTTTTTGCTATAGGGCGCATGCGCTCGCCAGACAGACAGAGACAGAAAGTGAGAAATCACCCCCCCGGGGGGATGGCCATGCCACAATCCATTCTCCTCTCGGGATCTTGGGCACGCACACACACGCACCCGGCATGAGTTTAAACCACCAGGTCCGGGACACAAACCACAGTCGACTACATGGGAGTCCAGCAACATAGCCATTAGGCTAACTGCTGGTCCCTATTTTGAGCTTTTTATACTCATTTATCATCAGTTTGTTCCAAATATGTTGGAATCAGCTAACATCTGCTAGTCTAGTAATGCTCTGATAGAATTGCAGGTGGATTTTCCCCAGACCAATTACAGTTTCAATACACACATTTCTAAAGGAACACAAAATAAATTACCCATAGCTAGACAGCAAAATAATACACTGTAACAGTATAATTATGGCAACAAAAACCTTCAGTAAGGTTGGAACATTACTTTCTTAAACTACCTATGGCATATGCAAAAATTTCTTTTAGTCAATAACTTACCTAGTTGGAAACAGATCCAATGAGTCCTTAAATTTTTTCTTGTAAGGCCTAAATGACATTGTTAAGGAAACAGGGTCAGCCTTGAAAAATCAAGGAATTCATTATGCCTAATGAAGTGAAGTATAAATTACTAGTTCAGCAAAATTAACTTTTCATAAACTCAAATCTATTTTTATAAACTAATGTAAATAATGTTTATATTAGAATTCTAACTGGTTTTCATTTTTATAACTGGTAGACTAGATTTTCTTTAAACTTTTAGAAATAAAATGGCTCAACTGGATATGTGAGAAAAAAATAATTTTCTTAAACTATCCTAGAACTAGTTACCATGTGTTTATGTGCCAATGTAAATTGTAATTTACCAAAGAGAAATACTTCATTTCCTCAGTCTTGCAGAAAAGTTCCCTCTAAAGAACCCTTCTTCCAATAAATGAAACTTCCCAAATTAACCAGTACTTTGGGCTGTTTGTTTTGAATGATAAGATTGAGCATCCTATGTGATTTTCTATGTGGAAAAAGACTCTACATGCTCTTGGTGGGAAACTGTTAAGAGGTAGAATAAAGGACGGGAGATGGTACAGGGCGGTATCCTTTCACTCAAGTCCTTTCCAGGCAGATCAGCTCTCAGCTTCAGAAGCCCCTTTCTCTTTGCCTGTATTTGTGTACATTCAAGTTTGTTGCTCCAAGGCAAGATACTGTCTGAATGACCAGGAAACTGAACTGACATTTGTATAACCCTGTGGAACCAAGCTAATATAGAACTCACCTTAAGCTAATTTTAGTGTTGGAAGTCTCTCTGGAACTAATTTCTGTGGATTCAAAAAAAAAATTTTCTGGGGGGTGGGGGGGTGGTGGATGTGCAGACACTTACCAGAGACCAGAAAAGGGAAAAAGCACCCCATAGTGGGGTGTAGTCACACTGCAATCCTATTTCTTTTTCCATCCAGTTGGGACGTTAAGCATGTATATAAACATATTCAACATGTTTTTCAAGTTGTCAGTTTCAGAATTCAAAACGCTATTGGCCACATGGAAGCCACAGGGCCAGCTCAAAACAAATATTGCCAGCAGACCTTGGCTTGTGCTTTCCTCTTATGTTGTAGAACCCAGTATTATCAAATCAGAACAGGAAGTAACACAATAAAGCCTTCAGTTATGAATGTTCGGGTTTTAAGATATGATTCATAGTCTATTTTGTCAGTTCTAAAATCATGGAAGCATTTCTCAAAGGAGTAAAATATTTGGAAGAGCTCAGATAAGATCTAATAACAAATTTACCCTGCTTACAAATCCTTTAATCTGATTTAATATCAGCCTCTCTCTTTCCTTCTATGGGAGAAAGACACCCCAACAAGGTCTTCATTTTGTGATCCCCTGTCCCAGCAGGCCTGGATTGTGGATACACATGTGCCCTGGGTGTTGAAGGAGGTCCTGGGATGTGAACTCAGGATCTTTGACCTCTGAAATGTTATGCAAGGAATTCTGGTACACAGTCACTTTAAATTACAATAGTACTTTATTTTAATAGTCACAAGATTTGACACTTCAAAAACAAAAAGATACCACCAATAAATAACAAAAGTGGAATGCTTATCAAAGTTACAACAGACATAATGTTGAGCTGAGAATCACTTCAACAGAGTAAGGCTCTAAGGATCAGAAAACGGATACTGTGTGGTTAAAAGGCCGCCCTGGTTCTGTGTGGTCAGGGCTATAGTCATAAAACCAGTGCTAGCACAATTGTGCTTTAGACTAAATTTTCTATAGTTTCGACAGTCTACGTAAAATGTTGAGGAATGTCCTGGAAAAAAAATTACGCCTTGAAAACTTCCGTTGGAATTTCCAATAGCCAATATACATATATTACATTCCTCCAAACAACAAAATAAAATTTAATAGGTGCTGGTATTCATGTCTGATATATCAGGTTTTGCTTTGATCGACAAGTCATAATGCTCCTAGATTCTGGGGTATATAGGTGGCAGAATATTTTTAATTTTTTTAAGTAGAATTTAGGGAAAATGAGGATCAAAAGGGAATGTATTTCTTGACTATACTGTCAATCTTCAATGAACTCTTCACAGGGAATAGTTAAGCCATTGAAACTAGCTTTTTTTTTATATCCAAATGCTTCACACTGAAAACACTTTAAAATCACTAAAAACTAAATGTATAATTTATAGAGATAACACACAGAAATGAACTGACAATTTAGAAAAATGCTAATCTTCTATATGTCTATGTCCAACCCCTTTGTGGTCTACTTCATATACTCTACCCACCCCACTTGAAAAAAAACTTTTCAGGTTATGTCCAACCTGATCTAATCCTGAATTACTTTAAAATAACAAATTGCTCTCTGTAGTGTGTGATACAGGTCTATACGAGGATACACCTGTGTGGTCCTGGCTTTTAAATTTGGAAATCTGCTCAGGTTCAGACTCCTTTTAAAAACTCTTCCCAACAAACATAATTAAATTTGTGATCCCTAAGATTCAGACAATACAGTTAAAATAGCCTAATAAATGAAAACAACTAATTTTTCCATTTTTAAAATAAAAATCACTGGATTCTTTGTGTCTAAAAACCTAAATCTGAATTATTCTTGTCTGGCATTGTGTAAACATATTTTTAAGTTCATTTTGCTGGGCTTCATTAACCACTTCAGGATCTGCAGGACTCTTCTGAACTTTTGCCACTGCAAAGTTTATCCCATGGGTTAATCCAGCTTGAGTGATACTTGCAACCTGGACCATGGAACTTCGAATCTTGGCAAAGGGAGAGACTGCTCTGCTGCTACTGCTCTCTGAAGGAGAAGGAGTTACGTGAAGCCTTGTCTCAAGTTCAAGCATGCTGGAACCAGAGCCAGGGGTCTTTTGAGATACAACTGCATGTACTGGTTCAACTGACAAAAACTGTGGGCCTGTTGCAGAAAAAGACACATCTAATTGAGATGGTCGAGAAGGTGTCTGTTCCATTGATTCTGATTGGGTTTCTTCATTGGCAACCTGATTGGTCATTTGATTTCCTTCCTCACTAGCCTGCTGAGACACAGACCTGGTCTCTGATAGTTGGGTCATTTTGTTTTGTGCATCTTGCACAAATTTGTGGCAGTAAATATCCACAGGCTTAGCAAAGCCAGTCAATATGTGTATGTTGTCAGCAGAAGGACTTTTCTTCAAGGGAGACTCCTGGCCTCTTCCGAGCCCACTTCCTTGAGCAGCAGTCATCTCTGAAGGAACATGGACGCTAACATCAGTGCTGCTGATAGACTGGGACCGACCGCCTAGCCGAGGTGCTGAAGGATAATACCACAACTAGGAAGAACATAATCTATCGGACCTACACTCTCTAAGGAATCAGCTAGCTGCCTATCTTCATCAGACTTGGAATTTGTAAGGAATTCATCAGAGTAGTATGAGTCATTATCTGAAGAAATGTCCCCATCAGACTCTGCCTGGACCTTACTATCCATCACTCCTGTGTTTTCCATGGTTTCAAGACTACTATCTGATTTCCAAAGATTTACTTTTAAGTTTGGTTTAAGAAAGTTAACTTTTGTTTCAGGTTTTGCGAAGTTTCCTAGCTTTCGTAGGTTGCCAATATTTACATTGGATTTGGTCTGCTTCACTTTCTGATTTAGAGATGAAAATTTACTCATTAAAAATTCTTTCCCTGTGCCAAAGAGCCTTGGTTTTGAGATCTGATACCAATGATGTCTTCATGAGGCTTACTGCTCTTCCTACAAATTAGAAGAGAAAAAGTTAATTACCTGTAGAATCCAATACTATCAGTTTGTAAATGAAAGCATTTTCAAGTTGGTCTCAATTTCCTGAAAATGGTGGATTCCTAATTGGTAAACTGAGATAAACCTCTGAAAGTTGACACTAAAACAATGCTTTATAAGCCATGTGAGCTATATAATTAAAAAATTTCAAACAGCCACATTAAAAAGAAACAAGTAAAATTAGCATTAATATTTAAACTCAATACATAAAAAAAATTTCAATATAGTTTTAAATGATTTTTTTTAAAGAATTCTTTATTTTTTAAAATTTTTATTTATTCATTTATTTATTTTAATTTGACCAGAGAGAAACACAAAGAAAGAAAGCAAGCCACCTGGTCCAGGACTCAAACCATGGTTGGCCACGTGGTCCAGTACCTTAACCACCATGCCACCTGCTGGTCACGATTACTTTTTTTTTCCAAGAGATTTTTTTCTATAAGGTGTGTACACTTGCCAGAGAGACAGAGACAGAAAGAGAGAAATTACACACACACCCCCGAGGGGGGGGGGATGGCCACACTGCCATCCCTTCTCCATTTTCCTCTTGGGATCATGGGCATGCGGACATGCATGCATGCACGTACGCATGCACAGTGTGAGTTTGAAGCCACCGGGTCCAAGACTCAAATTGTGGTTGGCCATGTAGGAGAGACTTAACCATTAAGTCATTTGCTGGTTTGAAAAAATGATGATTATCTTATCTTTTTGTAGTAAGAATTTAAAAGAGCCAATGTGTAGTATTCTATAAGTGCAGCACACTTGAACTCAAAGGAATCACATTTTCGGGGCTTTGCAGTCATATGGCTATCATTTCAGGCAGCAGAATAACCAGCAGCATTTAATTTGTGTATACTCATTCTAGTTTGCCTGAATTCAGGTGGGGGCTGAGGGAACTTCCATTTCCTTATGTTTTCTATAGTTTGCTTGAATTTATTTTACAAGAATGGGGCAGTTAACATAAGTAATCTCAGTGTTTACTCTCCTTTGGCACTTCTCAACTATAAGAAAAAAGTCTTGGTGCAAATTGTCACAGATGTCTCAGGATATACATTTGTACTCTTGGTCCTGCAGGATTACTAATCATGAGATTATTGCAAAAAAGTTATGAGATTAAAGAGCTACTGAAACAATTCTTTTGTATAACAAAAGACTGAAAAATCTTCCTTTGCATAACCAAATGGTCATTTCTCTAGTGGAATGTAGACCTGACTGATGCTCAGTAGGAGGAAAGATATTTTAAATTTCAGACAATTTGCTAAAAGGCATTCTTGTCTCAAGTTGAAAAACCCAGTGTTTAAAATACACTATTTTCTCTACAAAGTACTTAAAAGCTCCCTCTCTCCCAACTGTGGTTCAAGTCCTGGGCTCTGGGCCCTGGAAATTCATGCTGGACACTAGTGTGTGTGTGCCCAAAAACCCAGGAGGAGAATGGAGGCGAGGGGATGTGGTTGTGGCCATTCCTCTGGGGGGACTGATTTCTCACTTTCCCTGTCTGTCTCTCTCCAGTAAGCACACACATGCCCTATGGCAAAAACCTTAAGAGAAGAAAAACTCCCTTTCATCAGTTTGGGTTAAAAACATGGTCTAGTTCTAGAAGCACATGCTGTTAAGATACTGCCACTCCTCAGGCTCAGGCCTCACGGGAAGCTTGTGTTTGATTACTAAGCTATCCACTCAAAAGCCCAGTGGGTAGCTTAGTCCCAGCTAATGGGAGCCTGAGACACGAGGATCATGTGCTGGAAGTCAGCCTGGGCAACACATGGAGAACCTGTTAAAAAAGATGGGTGTAGGCAGGCACATATGGTTCCAGCTACTTGGTAGGCTGAGGTAGGAGGATCATAACATAGACCCACTTGGGAAGGTTATGAACCATATTTCATCATTTTTTTGCAAACTACCCCCTAGTTCAGTACTGGTAGAGATGGTCAGTGTTCTTCTATTAAAGCTTTTAAATGAACTTAGATGGATATCCTAAATATATTTCAAATGCCATACCACTCAAGAAAAAGAAAATCTGGGTTTTTAGTCTAGTGGTTACAGGTCTAATGTGGCCAGCTGCAGTTCAACCCCAGCCTTGGTAGCTTGGAGAAAAACAATACACTGGACATGTGGGCATGTGTGCCCAGAATCCTGGGAGGATGGATCAATAGAGAAAGGACTGCAGTGGGAGCACACCCATTAAGGGGTGCTTTCAGGGAAAAAAAGCTGACAGTCACAGTAGGTCTGAAAGGTAAGGGAAGGCTGAAGAACAGATCAGAGGAAACTACCAAAACAATATCACTAAAAGCAATGTGGGATTGTGGCTTGGATCCTGGAAGAGAGAAGAGAACAGGTGACATCTGAGTAAATTCTGTACTTTGCTTAACAGTATTGTTGCCAAGATTGATTTATTAGTTTCGATAATTATATGATTGTGTAAGATGGTAGCTGCACAAAGGTATATGGGAACATTCAACTATTTGTGCAACTCTCCTTTAAGTGTAAAAATTATGTGAAGATCATACATACATATAGAATTTAAATAAAGTATTACTTTTTAATCCACAGAAATTTGATAATTACCTAAGTACCAAGACATTATCATAATATGATCTCTTTCCTTTCCTTCATACTTAAAAGAAATAAGACCTTGGATTATGTATTTACCCTTGGGAGAAAAATCACAAGAAGTTTTGGGAGAAGTAATAGGCTCACCTCTCAAGTTTCTTCTCAATTATAGGTACA